CAGCCGTTTGGTTTGGATTTCGATTGCTAAAGTAAAAAACTACTGTGGAGTTGGGAGTAGTTCAATATTAAATTTTTGATTGATGATTTAAGTTTTATGAATAATTAAAATTTGGTTATTTTCTTTTAGTAGCTGCTTTGAAACCTAAAAAAATAATATATATTTTGAGCCAAACAATGGCCTTTTTTAAAAGTTTGCAATTAAAAACAATAAGCTTAGCCTGCATGTATAAAAAAAAGGACTCTTTCCCTCCAGTCCACCTAGAAAAGACGTTCAGGCTTCAATTATTTCAGCATGAATATATTTCCAAAGGTAGCATTTCTGGTGTGTGTCTTGGAAAACAAGCATTTACATATTTTTCCTTAAAGCTGTTGCTAAACGAGTCTCTGGAAAACGATGGCCTCTGACAGCTGAAGAGGGTGTTAAGACCTAATGAAGAAATCTTTTTCAGGGGTTTAAGAAAGCGGTGTCTAACTACTGAGGTGTGCATGGACTTTTCGGTGGTTGCATCCTTGATCCTCTCATTCCCCTCTTCTAGTTGTTCACCTAAACGAACACTAATAAAAAATCTCATTCCTTGCTGTGTTCCACTGCTTATGCAAACCTTGTCCTTTATCGCCTCTCCTCTGCATCCGAACCCACTTCTGTTCCACCTCTCTTCCTCCATTCTTTCCGCACTGATGCCACCGTTGTTAACCATCTAGATGTGAATAATGTATGTCGTCTTCTGAGAGAAACAAGTCAGACAAGCATGAAGGGGCTGCATAGGTGGGGGAGCCCATCACTTAAGTTATTTTTCACTAATTATCTATTGCCCCTGGTGATTCTGCTGCATCGAAGTGAGAGCATACATGTATTTATAACATTTTATATTTGCCTGCCTACACACGAGCACACATATATGTAGATTTCTGCGAAGACGTCTTTTATAGAAGCACAGAGAAAAAGCTTCTGGCCTCCTGTGCTGCCTAATAGACCCAATTACCGCACAGTCCTGCCCCTGAGCTCCACAGAAGTCTAGGCTCAGATTGTTGATCTCAGTGTGTGTGTATGAATTCTACATCTTATTTGATGTTGTTGTTCTTTTTTTTTATTTTTATGTGTGCCTGGAACATTCTTCCTTTTCTCTCAGATAAAGACTGCCAGAAAACACAAGGCCATACAGATAGACCGTATTTCCTAGGCTGCATCATCTTTCCCAGAAAAACAACAGTGCACTCACAAAGAGCAAACAACACTCACACGAAAGCGCACAGACTGCACATGGTGTACCAGAGGACATGAGCACCAATCTGTGCACAAACCAAATTCTGAGAAGGGCCGCAATGAGCTTGACTCTTGATGTTTTGGCTGAAAGGTCTATCTTTGGAATAGTTTGGTAGCAGGTGTTGAAAATGACTGAAAAAGAAGTTGTTTCCAAGCAGGACAGTGAAGGTACAAAGAGAAATGCTTTAAAGTGCCACATATATTTTTATTGGGGTTGTGTGGAATGGATCTACACATCGCTGCATATAATATCAAAGTGAGAGTAGCACAAGTGTCATTGAATCTATTGCAAATACATTTTTGAAAAGTGTGACCTTAATACAGTTTTGTTGAGATTAACAACAGAATAGCGTCACATACCTTATAATTGTAGTGGCAGCCTAGTGGTTAGGGCATAGAACTTGGAATTTAGAGGTTCTGAGTTCAAGCCCCACTCTCACAGAAGGGTCCATGAGCAAAAGACCCTTAACCCCACACTGCTCCTGAGTGCTGCACAGTGGCAGCCCACTGCTCTCCAAGGGGATGGGTTAAATGCAGAGAGTTCTGTACTTGTGACAGTGTAACAAGTGACAATAAAAAGCTGGAAAAAGAAAAAAAAATACAGTCTAGGGATGATGACAAATCAGGCATAACAAGTGTTTTCCATTTAGTCATATTTTAATTTTCACCATTTTTGCATGCAAATAAACACCATCCAAAACAGTCGTCTACTACGTACCTGCCATGGTTTCCCCATACAAGATGGGTTAGCTTTTCTTGTATGGGGAAGTTTATCTCTGCAACAGAGCCTGGGGGGTTATCAAAATGTTGCCATATCGTCTTTTATTTCCTTTGAAAATGTGTACTGGTCTGATCAATCAAAATGTTTAAATTTTAGTAATTCATCTGGTGGAAAACATGAAATAAACAGGTGGCATTTAAAAAAAAGGCAACACATGTTATATATGCTGAATATTGTGGATTCCTTGTTCACAAGATACTTCTATATAACAGTTCATTAGAAAGGAGAAAACGTAATATGCTGTTTTAAGATGGTAGAGAGATAGTGGCATTCCAAAGGGTTTTAAACTTTGTTTGCTCCAAGTTCCTTAGATACATCATACTGTTAGCTGCAAGTACTGTAGAAGAGGAAATACACCTATGTAAAGCCAAAATACAAGCAACTAGTACTTTTGAAATTACCTGTTTAAAAAACATACATAGAGAAGAGTTACACACCAAGTAGCCTTATGAGAAAATGTGAAAAAATGTTATAGACTGAATCTTTTTTGTTCTACACAGTTTGTCAGATGACTACTACTCTTAATTTCAGTCACAGGACACTGATAAGCATGATGGCTCAAGCATCATGCTGAGGGGATTTGACACTTATTACTTATTATTAGGTCTATTTATTATACACAATATCAGGGATTTTAAATCAGTTTGAATAAATCATAGCAAGTCAATTGGTTTTCTTTGAAATAAGAAAAGTCATTGATACAGATGTTCCACTGTATTGATCCTCCAATCAGCTATGACAAGCTTACCGGATCCTGCACATTGGAAGGCATTGCAAGATGCGGTCCGCACCATGCTGTACTATGACAATGAATTGTTTAGGCTGATGTGTGACATTAGCTTTACATCACACTTTGCATGATGAAAGAGCGTAAGCTTTCTGATATTTGCCATATCCATGACTATTAGTTGTCCTGTGGAAATATTCTTCTATGTGAGCTGTGCACCTCTGCAGCTACAACTGGATTATTTTGGAATGACCAGGATAAAAGTGAACTAAATGAATATTCCCATCACAAGGGCTGAAATAAATCATCAGAGCTATCATCGTACATTAATCATTAAAGTTAAGCATCAACTAATTTAGCAATCACTTTATCATTAACTGGAGTGTAAAGATTCTTAACACATTCTGATAGGTGAAGGGAAACCCACTAATAGCAGTAATTATGCCAAAATTGTAAAAGCATTAAAAAATTTAGCATCCAAGATAAAAAAAATGTTTTGTCCATCAATATACTGTATCCAGAACTCCTACAGTGTCACAGTTTAAGCTTGACCTGGTTTAAATATATTTAAACAATCTCTAAGGAATCTTTTGGCATCCATTTATTAATCGATTAATTAAAAAAAGAAAAATTATTGTCTGATTAGTGTTATTATTATAGCAAAACAATCATTAGCTTTTATTGCAGCAATCGGCAGTAGAATGAGCAGTTATTGTCTATTTTGGTTTGATGAAACTGAAAATTAATATTTTAGAGAGTAACAGATTTTTGTTGCTTTACAAGTACCAATTAAGAGCAAAACATATACTTTTAAAAATATGTATATTTCTACAGATTCTTTCAGCACCTGTGACTCTTGCTTTGCAGCTTCTCCAGAGTTAGTTCCTTTTTCTCTGTTAAATGCCTTAAAAAAACTGATGCATTCAAAGAGCAGCTTTTTTTTAAACAAAGAAACTGAATAAATGGATTCTACGTATTTACGATTGGTCGCCCTGGATTATATTTAGGCGCATCAGACCTTTAAGATTCTTTGTAAAAAAGTCTACAGACATGCATCATTTTCCATCCACTTCATTAACATGCACCACTGTCACGAGGCATCAATAAGATGCTTTGACATTTCTTTTTACAAAACAAAGGGATGAAATATTGCAAAAAGCATAAATGGTTTTGCAAGGTTGTGCACTATGTATGGTAAAAAGAAACCCAATGATATGGAAACAGTGGAATTTCATTATTCTTTCCTTTAAACCAGGGCCGTGTCGCGTAAGCAGCAGTCTGAGCAGAGATGCCCAGACATCCTGATCCACACACACCTACTCCAGCTGCTCTGGGGGGACCCCAAGGCAACACCAGGCCAGCTCAGAGATATAGTCCCTTCTCCTCCCAATAGGACATGCCTGGAACACCTCCTGAGGGAGGCGACCAAGAGGCATCCGAGACAGATGCCCAAGCCTCCTCAGCGATGCCCAAGCCTCCTCAGCTAGCTTCTTTTGACGTGGAGGAGCAACGACTCTACCTTGAGCTCCTCACCCGATCTTGAAGGGTGCGCCCAGCCACCCTGCGAAGGAATCTCATTTCGGCCGCCAAGCATTCGCGACCTTGTCCTTTTGGTCATTACCCAGATCTCATGACCGTAGGTGAGGGTGGGAAAGTAGATTGATCAGAAACTCGAGAGCTTTAAAAAAAAAAAAAAGTGGAATTTTATAGACAAAAATATCAGATATATTCTAGATATAAAACAGTCTTTCTGCATCCCCAAAACTGAGCTACCAATTTCCCCTCATCCCTGGCATTTGACAGAGAAATGCTAACCGTATCAACAAGCTATCATTGCACAAAAAAGCTTCCCTCACTACCCTGCCAGCGAGAACAGAGATGGACCATTACAGTCTTTGATATCCTAACACTTAAGAGGTCATTATGAGGCGTATTGCACGTGTACACACACAAGCGTGCTCGCATAAACACCAAACAGGCGCCCCCACAAGCAGCAGCGGCTTTGTGAACCGTCTGGTTCTCATGTTTGAGTGGGTTATGGCTATTCACACAATCTGGATGGGGCCATTATTCACATGGCACCCCACGTTCACTACATATTATAGCTATCTGTCTCTATTGTGAAAAATGACAGGGCCTTCAGTTCAGTGAGCTTGAATACCCCCCCCCCTCTTCCATCCCACAGCCCTCTTACTTTCTCCCTTCTCTCCTCGCTCTTGTCTCCAGGTCGAGGACATCCTGCTGCCAATGAGATGTGATTCTCTGCCTTTTCATTTCGCTCCAACAAAAGAAAATACACACTAACCGGTAAGAATTTGCATTCCCATAACTGTGTGGGGAAAGAAATACATCTTATCTGGTTGTATAATAATTTTAAACATATTTACCAAGGTACACTGGTCAGGTCAAAATGCATTCCTATTTGCAACAGCCATATTTAGGCCTAAAGGGAAAGCCAAGCAAATGCACACACACAGCTGGTGTGGTGGGTTTTTTTGTGTGCATACTCTACAGTCTGCGTTATGCTTTTTTAGAACCCAAATGTGGCTTTCCCTAGGGACCTCAGGGTTCCATCTGTGCCAGGAAGTGCTCTAATGGGCCCCAACAAATGTGTCCTCTGAAAGTTCTAATCCAATGTGATTCGGCAAATCTTCAAATATAGGAAATAAGGCACGTGGTTTTCCATGAAGGGAACAAAGGCGGAAAAGAGCAAAGAAGCCACATTGGAATGACAGGAGCTAACAGAGTTCTAATTGCAATCAGCCTGCTGCTCATTGAAAGCATCAGCAGGAGTTTAACCACAAAGGCAGACCTTCATCTGCCCATGAAGCCATTCACCACAACTTATTTACAGTGTATTTACAAGCTGAGCAAGACCTGTAAAATGTCGAATTTACGAGCTTCCGTTTAATTAGGAATACTGTCTCCCAGAGTTGGCTGATGAATTGCACATTCAGTTTATTGGCAATGGTGGGGGGCACAGTTGTTTGATATTGACACACTTGCCAGAGAGCTGCAGTTGACGTACTTTTTACACCGAGAGGAGAAATATATTGCATCTTTGCCGTATAAAAACCCAGAGGTCATGTTTTCATGCAAGATCCTATTCTGTATTGATTGAACTGGCAGAGATAATGTAAAAGCGCGGCGCTTACCCTTTCTCCTGCTGTGTGGTTTTGCATTTTTCTTCACTAGAAGTTTTATTTTGTTTGTTGAATTATCAAACATGTTCCGCCACCACCAAATTGAATGAATGTTATGAACATGGTACCCAAGAGATAGGCGTTTCCTTTTTTAATTTTAGTTTTTATCTGTTGTGGTGGAAATTGTAATGCATACCTTCTGATATGATACCTGGTAGGCCTACCATGAAAAATACTTCTACATCTCAAATGGTATTTCTTTGCAGCTATCAGAAATCAAATAATGTACAATGACAAATAGATTTACTAAAAATTGTGTTTTTCTTGATTAGCCTCATCTAAATGTTTCAGAAAATCAAATTCATTTTAATATTAGACAAAGAGACAAGTAAAAATGTTTTTTTTTTTGGATAATTTAAAAACATCAATTTTATTTTAGCTGGTGTTTGAGCATGAATGGTTTGTTTTAGGTCATTCCACACCATTATTAAGAGATGTAGGTCCAGACTGTGAATGCAATTTCGGTCTCTTTTTTTTGCATTTTTTTTCCCCCATTAATTCAAAAACAGATCTTTTTGGGTGTGTTTTGTATATTCTACCGCTGCGTAAGCTAAGTGTTAACATTAGATTCTGATTTTGTCAGGTTGATGGAGGCTTTGAGGACCCAAATGCAGTGATGGGTAGGCAGAGAGAGTTTGCTGATTTAATTAGGACTCACAGGCAACTGAGGCAAAAATCTAGGAACATACAAAAAAAAAAAAACTGAAAACCAAAATAAATCCAATAGGCTTTAGGGAAAATACAGGTGGAAGCAAGAGACAAGGAAGGAACTAAACAACAACAGGAAACCAGCACTGAGTGGAGGCTCTGCTGCTCTTTAAAGACCAGCACTCTGATGAGACTGATGAGCTACACCTGGGTAGATTATCCAGGTGCTCCACAAAGATCCTTTCTGGATGAGATGCATAACTCGTCAGCTTTATGGACATGGGTTTTCTGTAAGGAACAGAATTCATAGTTTCATCACACCACTGCTACGATATGATCTTTTTCTAAACTACTGCTGTCACCATATATATATTAGGGATGGGACGATTTATGAAAACCGTCCGAACCGTTCGGTTCGACTGTCTCGGTTCGGTTCGCGTGTGTTTCGTTCCGTTCATGCGCTGCTCCTTTTTCTCATAGGCGAAGCGTTTACACTCCAGAGAGAAGGTGGCGGTACTGCGACCAAAGCCAACTACCAGTAGTAAACAAGAAGAAGAAGAAGCGAAGCAGCTTAGCCGGGTGTAGCAGGGGAAAAAATCAGTTGTTGTGGAGAATTGTGTCGGAATGGCGAGTGGGAAAGAACAGGAGTTGGAAGACGCGCCAGCAGCACTTTATAGGTCTGCTGTATGGGACCGCTTTGCATTTAGAGTGACCTACGATGACGGCGGAAAGAAAGTTGTGGATAAAAGTGCAACAGTGTGCAAGCATTGTTTATGCTTACAGAAACATGACCAACATGTCATGCTAACCCCGAAATCCCTCATACTCCGTCAGCAACCCCCCGCTCCGCCCCGCTGCGCTCCAGACCGCCTGCACAAAGCAAAGCCTACAGCCCCCACTGTGGCTCCCGTCCGCTCCCCTCTGAGTCCCTTGGAGATGGTAGAGAGCATGCGTGAGATGATTAAATTCAAAGCAGCAAAACATACGGAAATGATTCAGGGTTTCCGCGGATCATTTAAAATAATTACAATCCATTATTTTTTGGAGGATTTTTTCATTAATTTCATAAATTTTTATGGGATTTCGGTTTAACAATCAACATGTATCGAACTGAACCGAAAACCGTGACCAGAAACCGTGAATCGAACCGAACCGTGGATTTTGTGAACCGTTCCACCCCTATTATATATATATATATATATATATATATATATATATATATATATATATATATATATATATATATATAATAATAATAATATATATATATATATATATTAGGGCTGTCAGTTTTAAAGCGTTATTAACGCGTTAACTGCGTTAGACTATAACGCCGACATTTTTTTTAACGCACGTTAATTGCGCATCAAAACAAATGCACAGTGCGCTTTTGTTCTTTATTTTTCCGCAGCGCTCGCTGTACTGTTTGTTTTACCCTCGGCGCTTTCCGTAGCTTCAGGAACGCTAAGTTTTGGGAGAGACCGCAGCATAACAGACCCTTGCTTTGAATGAGCAAAAATGGCCAGCAGACAAGGTATCCTGAATGATAAGTTTCATTTTAAAGCTACAGTGTGTAATTTTCAGCGACATCTAGCGGTCAGACTGCAGACCGCAGCAACATGAACATCTCCCCCCCACCGCTTCTCCCCCCCAACAGTACGGCGAGCGTTACGGGACAAAATTTCTTCCACGACGTCCGCATCACCTACCCTCTCAAGTGATGAGGTTTGTTTACATAGATAATTTTACAGATAGTATTTCATTAGTCTGAGTAGGGTATAGATTTCATGTAGACTTAAGATAATAAATATACCCGTTATTTTTTCTACATCGTTGTGACGTTTTGGTGAGCTGCTTTGCATGGTGATATAAACAGACTACTAATTGTAGTCATTAGTTTAACAGCGAGATTGTGTTCGCTGGAAGAATATATATTCCCCGTTTACAGAGTCCAAGTCATTTTGGTGGCACGGGGGTTACAACGCGAGGAAGAGGGAGAGGACGAGGGCGAAGGCAGGGAGGCCGTGCAGCTAGGGCCAGGCGAGAGAGGGGTGCCAGCGGGGTGAGAGCAGAGGAGGAAACGCTTGAAGATCTCCAAAGGAGCCGGAGAGAAGTAACCGAGGTATATATCCAGAAAATTATTTTACAGAAAATTACTGAATCATTACCTATGAAACGTCAGGGACGTTGCTGAATAAGTATACTGGAGAGGAACAGCATCATCACGCCGCAGCATGTTATTGTTTTAGACAGGTCTTAGCATCCTGTACTCCAAAAACTGCAGTGATATTAGACAATTGTGTGTGCAGGATTAATTACCTGTCCAAGAGAAAACTGGCAACTTGAGCGTCACTTTGAAAACCTTTTTCCTCCATCAGTGACTTCCATCGTGTAAATGCCGTGCCAATGTTGATCCGTGTTTTTTGTCGTTTCTTGTCACGCTTGCGTTTATTCTCGTCGTGTTTCCGCTTCTTAGATGACGGGGGTTCGGTGTCCGCCGCTTTTCGTTGTGATACAGAGTAGGCATGATCCTCCATTCGTCTGATGTTTGGCCACACAGTGCCAAACAGTTTGCAAAGTCACTCACGCCTGCCGCCTTTGTTCACCTTTCTTGTTACTGATGCGCAGTATACCTGCTTCTTCTTCTTCTTTGGTTTCAGGCAGACTAAACGCTTCTCAGGCATAATACTGCCATCTACTGTTCAGTACCGTCTCAGTTCATCTCTCTCAACTTGCCGTAGTTATTTTTGAGCGTCATGGGAGATCTCGCAATCGCTAGTTTGTTGCCTCTGCGCTTGCCGTAGCGCAAAGATGTCAGCCTCCATGGCTGCGAGACCCGCTCCTATGTAATTATAAATAACGAATTCTAAGGCAGCGCAAATATTATGGTTAAAAGGCTGAGCTCATAGGTGATGATAAATAACATAGTTATGTATAATATATTAAATTTCTGACTTTATATGCCTGTAATTATTACACACTGTAGCTTTAAAGTTATCCCAGAAGGCTGTCTTGACAAAACCTGAGTCCTATGTCTATGTTGTCCAGAAGAAACGAGCGTCTCACTGGCTTAGTGCCAACAAGACAAAGAAGGTAGTAGGCAGCACACTGCTGAAAAAGGTTCACCTATTCATGCTGTAGGTAAAGCCTCTGATCTAAAATTACTTTGCAACTCTCTTCAAACTGATATATAAGATATGTTCTTTCTCATCGCATCTATTTTAGTTAAGGGTATAATGATTTGCTTTGTAAGGTCAGGTTAGCTTCCTTCATGTCAGAAATGTTCAGCTTGTTTATACATGTACAGTAGTAGCCATTTAAACTTTCCCAACTTTCCTTGATGGGCCCTTGGCTGGTCCCCTACAGATCCTTTTTAATCATCAGTCTTTGTACTAAAATGTTCTGTCTGTCACGATTGGTGGACATTAAGATCTAAAGAGAAGCTTCATCTCCTGG